CTATTATTATTATTATTATTACTATTATTATTATTATTATTACTATTATTATTATTATTATTATTACTATTATTATTATTATTACTATTATTATTATTATTATTGTCATTATTATTATTATTATCATTATTACTTATTATTATTATTATTATTATTATTATTATTATTAATTATTGTTATTATTTATTATTACTATTATTCGTTATTATTATTTACTGTTATTACTATTTATTATTATTATTATTACTTTCTATTATTATTACTACTTACTATTATTATTATTATTTATTATTATCATTGTTGTTATTATTATTATTATTGGTTATTAGTTGTTAATTATCAATTATTAATTTGTTACTATCAATTACTATTATTTATTATCCATTATTAATAAGCAAAATATTATTTATTTTTGTTAGTGTTACTATTGTTACTACTATTAGTATTGTTATCATTATCTATTATTTGTTAGTTGGTTAGTTATTTATTATTACTATTATTGATTAATTAATCGCTTATTATTTCTACTATTATTGTTGTTATCATCAGGTATTAATTATTATGTTTTGGACTCACTTTTGGCACCATACTATTTGGTCCTAACGGAGGATACATGAAGAGGTCTTTTTTAGTGTATGGCTTTCAATATGATTGTCAGGATTTGTTTTCGTTTTTTTTTCTATTTCAGCTTTTCTGAATAAACGTCTCAAATGCAGCAATGTTATGACTGAATTTGTTTCAATTTGTATTCTGTTTCTCTGAGTATTTTTAATTTTCCATTTTTTTAATCACTTTCCGGTTTTTTCCCACTGATTTAAATTCCACTATGTCATTGCTATAACAATATTATGATAGTATTTGTAACCAGCTTGTAAATTCTCGTTCTTTCGCCCATAAACATTTCTCAATTTCTCCGTGATTTTTTCCTGTAATTAAGTCGTAGAATGTTTCTATTACTTTGTTTATGCTTCAGTTACATAGCTTACCATGTAACAAAGTAATTTTTTTTAGGTAAAATCAACCAATAAATCTTTGTTCTGGTGAAAGTGAATCGGAAGGTGAATTTATGGCGGTGAATGGCTTATACATAGTTCAGGGTGAAGCCAATGCTGTGGTAGCATTATTGAAGAAAGCACACCGAAACTGGCCGCATCATCAACAACAGATTTATTTAGGGCATTCACTGCTTGATGAAACTGACCCGTTGTTGAGGAATTTCGCAGATCTGAGGGATGTTTTCAATTCTGTAAGTTTGCATACATTTCTAATTTTGAATCCGACTAAACTGAGTTCCGACTTTGTATATTTCCCAGTTTTAATCGACCAGTAGGAGTTCGTAGTGGGAAATTCTTTCTTTTTTCATTTGTTTTTTTTTTTTCATTATTTTTTTTGTATTCATTGTATTTTTACTTTTGTTGACGAAAGGGCAAAAGGGCAACTCTCTTCAATTTATCATTTTCGTTCGAATATTTTCGGATGTTTAGATGTCTTGTTATTCGCGTGAATGCTGAAGTAAAACGATAAAAATTGATGGACGAATAATAGTTAAATGGAATTTTAGTCACTGTAATGTAATAACTATAATATTAGCAATGCCACTGTAATGTATTTTTCGGTCCTTATCTCTTTTTTCTTTTCTTTTTCTCTTTATTTTTTCTTTACAGATCACTTATCCTTCTTTCTGTTACCTTTCTGTGGGTCACTTGTATCTCATTGCTCAATTACACACCAAAGATGAAAATATCTGCAAAATCGATTTCATGATCTTTTATACGAGTGCTTGTTATCTTCTAAATTTTAAAATTTATAAATGTACTTTTCAGTGTTGCTATTGTAAATATTATAATTAAGGTAAACGATTTACTGGATATGAATCCTGACACATACCTAAGTCCATTTTTGGATGTGATACGTTCTGATCAAACTAATGGTCCAGTAACGGCGCAAGCTTTATCATCCGTTGCTAAATTTCTTAGCTATGGATTAATTGATAGTTCAAGGTTGTTTTTTATTTTTCATCATAATTGGATTCAGTTCTCATAATGTTTTTTTCCAAATTCACATCCTCTAAGACCTTTTCACCGTCGATCATCAGAGATTCTAAATATTGCAGTATCAAAGCATCAAATGCGGTAGAAAATATTGCGGATGCCGTAACACATGCAAAATTTATTGGTAGTGCTGACAGTGGCAGGGATGAAGTCGTTCTGCTAAAAATTCTTCAGGTTATTTGACCTCATCGTTTTCTGCAGAAGAATTTTAGTCTTTTAATGCTCAAATGGCAATGGATGGTTTCTGTATGAGTGGTTGTCATCATAATTGAAAATTTTCAGTTCTCCCACCGAATATAATGATATCAATATGATGGTTTTCATTTTAAATGATGAAAACTAATTATAGTTTGCCATTGCTGCTATCTTGGTTTTTTTTATTTCTGTAGGTGCTGCGTACTCTTTTACTTACACCAGTTGGACGATTACTGTCGAACGAAAGCGTTTGCGAAATGATGCAAAGTTGCTTCCGGATCAGTTTTGAACCTGCTTTGAGTGAACTTTTACGTGGTGTCGCTGAAGCTACCTTATCAGATATGACGCAGCTGTTATTCACAAGGCTATCTACGTTTCAGGAAGATATTCGTCATCCTTACATTCGAAAACTGGTATTAACTTTCGAATTTATATAAGTCTTTTCAGTTTTATCAAATCTTTTGTTTGTTAAATCTGTTAGTTTGCCATGTCTTTTCAGTTTCCTCGATATAAAGTATACTCCTGATATTAGTGTAATGAATAATTTTGAAATCAAAATTGTTCGGTAGCATTTAGAGGTGGTTTGTTTATCTCTTTAAAATCTCTTTAGGACTGTAATTTTATTACAATTTTCAAGAAACATATAATTAAGTTATTTTGTATCTCGATTATTTGTGACAAATCAGCCCGTCTCTATGTGAGAGAAATATTATCTGAGAACTGGAAGGGATTTTAATTTATAGTCATTCAAAGTAAAATAGTTTTTGAATATTTTTTTTTTTGCGGCTATTTCAATAATGAATTCTGATTTTGGTTTCTATTTTTCCAGGTGAAACGTGCTGGTCATTTAGTGGGGAAAAGAAAGAGACGAAAAACTTATTTTAATGATATTGTAAAGAACGAGAAAGGAGAAAAGGATGACACTGAAAACGATATTCCAAAACCTCGACAAGTTAGATGGTTTCATTTAGTCGCTTTTTCATATTTAGAATGTTTGACTGGATATCATTTATATCCACTCATTTTGTGCTTATTTTTGCATAATTTAAACTGCTTGTAACGTTTTTGAAACTTGATATCCTTAATTACCACGTGATCGATTTTAGTCGAAGAAAGAAGATGTGGAGTTGATAAAGGAAGAAAATAGCCAGGAAAGTGGTCACGACGTTGGATCGCCTCAAAATGCTGGTCTGTCAAGTTCGATCGAAATGGTACCCCATTTGCACGATAAGGTTGAGAGAAAACACAAAAGTGATAATTCTCAAGCTACTGTTATCGATGAAGCAGAAACAAGTAAATTTCTAAATTATTTTACATAGTCGGAATATCAGTGAAGCGTTCTGGCTCCCTGCACCATTGCATCACCAAGAAGGAATTCTATGGAAATAAAATATCGGCATGAAAGTAATATATCATGCTTAGATGATTGCCCTCAGAATCCTAGAAAAACCAAAGTTTGGACTGATATGATGTATTTTTCTAAAATAGTTTCCATGACTCTTTTCAGCTCCTCCAACACTTATTTTTTAATCACTCATTTTTTAGTAATTTTGCACTTTGTCATTTAGAGCGATGTTTTTGGATGTGGAATTATCAAAATTGAAATTTAGTGACTCCATTATTTTTTGAAAATCTTCCCCAAAACGGAAGTATTTGGGTATAAAGTTGTATCTTATTTTTTTATTTTACAGCTAGTGTTGCCGCTCATCAGCATTTGATGGAGAAGTCCGAATCCGTTGAGTGTTATGGCGTTGCTGTTGTTAGTGGGTTATCTAAAGAATCTTTCGAGGCAGTAAAACTTGATTCAGATGATGGTGCTGTGCCAGACAGTGATGATGTTAGTTATAGATTGTTTTTCGAAATGCTACTGTTTTCTAATGTTTCAGTTACATATTGATATTGAAGATCATTGGTAAATTTTCATTCAACTCATCTACAAAATATTTTAAGTCACCGACTTAACAGTTCTGAAATTTGCAGAGCTCTGCATCACCTGAGGAAGATAATAACGAGAAGGGAAGAGTGGCCAGAAAGAGGATAAAAAGTCCTGAAGAGATGGTGAAACCAATATCCGATTTTGAAAAGGTAATTGTACACTATTTTTTTTTTGCTGAATTTTATAAGCACGATGTGAATCTGAGCATAAGACCAAGATTATTTAATTTCAGGGAAATTCTGTAGTAAATGATGAAAAACCAGTACCGTCCACAGAGATAGTTGCTTCAAGCCCAACCACTCACATACCATACGGTATACCATGTGTTCGTGAACTACTCAGGTTAGTAAATAGAGGATCACTGATTATTAGTTCTGATTGTAAAAGTTCTAGTTGCAAAAGCCGGAGATGTATTTCTTGATAAACCAAGTTCTCAGGATAAAAATTAGCTCAGAGAATGGTGAGTCGCAATCTAGCAAAGTGAACTGAGGAAAGGTTACAGTGAGTCATCTGAACATATATCAGAGAGGTGTTTATGTGGTCACGGAATCCTCAGTTTTGGTATACCTTTTTGGCTGCTTGTTTATTTTACAAATTTATTATTTGTCGGTTAAACAAGGAATCGTAATTTTAAGTGCGAACATTGCTAAAAATTCGAGTTTCTTTATAGGTTTTTAATCGCTCTAACTAATCCACTGGATCGTGCTAATACGGAATCAATGATTTTGATGGCGTTAAATTTGCTCACTGTTGCATTGGAAGCTGGTGCCGATCATATTCGTAGTTTCTCATTGCTAATGCCACTTGTGAAAGATGAACTTTGTCGTGCGCTATTACAAGTATTACTTAACATCTTCATATTTGGATAATTTCAATCATATCATAATTGTTTAAAGTATAGCTGATTGTTAACCATTGTGTCATAAGTTTTTCAGAACCACCTACAGATTTTATATAATGAATTAAAAAATTAATGCTGTAGTTTGGAACCGTCTGATTCGTTTTTAGCTTTTGGATACCGAGAAATTACCCATATTCGCTGCGACGAATCGTGTCTGCTTCCTCTTGTTTGAGAGTCTTCGTTCAGATTTGAAATTCCAACTTGAAATGTATTTCCTAAAGTTACAATCAATCATTACCAGTGAGCAGGTCTTATATTTTTCCGAATTTGTATTATTCCGATCATTTTGATGTTTTTCATGTCGTTTATGCTTCAATAAATTGGCATGTAAGGAAATTGATATGCTTCAGTTCGATAATTTAATTTATACCAATTACATTTTTCGATATATAATTTAATTTATACCAATCACATTTTCCGATATTTCAGACTCGTATTAGTTATGAGCAGAAAGAAATGGCACTGGAAAGCATTGTGCAGTTGTGGCGTATAGCGGGACTGGTTACGGAAATTTATTTGAATTATGATTGTGATTTGTACTGTTCAAATCTTTTTGAAGATCTTACTAAGGTATATATTTGCCTTCTGAAATTTATCTCTTGAATTCATTCTTTTTATGTACAGCGCTGGATATCATTTTGCTACTTTAAGCTTCTTCTTGAAAATGCGTTTCCTGTTCTCGGTCTACGTTCTGTCAATCTATTATCGTTGGATGGTTTGCTTACTGTAATTGATACGATTGACAATAACTGTGTATACAGGCAAGCTGGTGGTGTTCATCATAAAACCATTGTTCCAACGTAAGTTCACTTCGTTGTACAAATTAGGAAATTATTGGCTTTGCTTTGTATAGAGTATTGTTTTTGAATCGTTTTGTTTTGTTACCAGATTTTTCTGAACTACTATAGAATTTTAGTTCTGTACCGGCGCAATTGCACTTACCAGTTATTAGTGGATATGCATTTGGGCGGCAGAGTGCGATCGATGGAACTTTATGTAGGTTGTTAAAGTAAAAAAATGATGTGCGCATATCAAAGGATTGTTGAAGTCGAAATTTTCCTAACAAATTCTATACTTTTGATTTAGAAATCAGATATCAGGTGTGTCATGAACGTCTTTGAAGTTATCCAAGTTGAACGAGTTCATAAACGCCTTTAAAGTTACACACATTGATCCAGTCGTGACAAATTTTAGATTGGAAAGGTGATTTTGGTTCACTTTAGTACTGATAGCGAAGATTAGAATTGAGCTAGTCAGTATAGCTGAAATTTCACTGTGAAAACTTTCATTTTTTAAATGTCTTTTTTTTACTCTTTGAGAAACCCTTCACAATATTGCAATTTTTTGAAGCAATTGCTACGGCGGAAAAAACGGCACTTTTTGAAACGTTTTTACCTTCTACGGCATTACGCGCAAATCGGATGGCTCCGTCGTCTTCTCTTCCATCAATTATAGAAGTTATTGAAAGGAAAAAGAAAAAACGAATTATTACAGAAGCGACGGAACTTTTCAACCAAGATCCAAAGAAAGGTTCTCGATGTAATGAAAAAATTAATTATAAAATGGCAGTTTGAAGTCAAGCGGCCCGAAAAGTATGTAAATAATAATTTTTGCAGGAATTGAGTTCCTTAAAGAGAAGAAGTTTTTTAAATCACCGCTGGATCCTGTAGATGTCGTGACGTGGTTGAAAGCTAACCCGCGCCTCGACAAAAAGCGGATTGCCGACTACATCTGCAAGTTTGTTGTATTTCAAAGCTTCTAATACAGTTATCATCTTTTATTTGTTATGACTCAAAATTCAAATACTTTTTGGCATTCCTATAAATTAGACTATTAAGACAGTTTGCTGATAGTATCACAAACGAATCAGCAGCATTCCTTATTGAAATTTCTATTAGATTACTGAATGTTATCGAGAATAATGAAGGAGAACGATTACATGGAGGGAAGAAAATCAAAATATGATATTTAGTGGGTTTTTTTTTCTAACGAATAGGTGCGAAACTTCTTAAACTTATTAAGCTTATTACTTACTACTGTATGCATAAATTGCAGCCGGAAAAATGCCGCTGTGTTGGATGCGTTTGTTCGGTCATTCCCATTTGAAAATACCCGTCTGGATGACGCTTTGCGTATGTTTCTGGAAACATTTAGATTACCCGGGGAAGCCGCAGAAATCTCGATGGTAATGCAGCATTTTGCAGGTGAGTACAGTAATATTGTACTAGATGTTTATCAAAATCACAAATGCATGTTAAAATTTGAACGACTTATCTGTCATTATTCTCGAACAATATATTTCTTCGTCCTGATAGGATATTTTTAATTCTGAACAACTCTAAACAAATTTTTCGCCAAATAAATGTTTGGTTCGGTAAAATTCTAGAAGCAGTGAAGGTTGAGACTCATTACTTACTGAGTGATTGGTAATTATTATGTGAACGCAAAGTTTTATAAAACTAATTTGAATTTTTATTTTTCTAACAAAGGGGGAGGTAATTCTTGAAAATCGTTGAAAATTAAGATCTTTAATGGTACTGAAATTATTTTTGTAAGACTGTCATTTGTCCAGTGTCTTACTGTTCCACTAAAACTTTTAGTCGGCGTAGGACTTCATCGCTAAAACTGTTAGCCATTAATATTATCTTTTATCTTTCGTTTACCACTACTTCTGTCTTCACTTTTTTTTTTGAATCTTTAGATCACTGGTATATCACAAATGGTGAGCCTTTTAACCACGTTGATGCAGCGTTCACCTTAGCTTATGCTGTCATTATGCTCAATACTGATCAACACAATCCGCAGGTGTTTTTCATATCTCATTTGCATTAGAACTGATTTAAAAAAAGACGGGTGGATTTGATTTTCGGTGTAATTAGTGTTTGAAATCATCCACTTTAATTAACTATTGTAATTCCATTGCAAAGTTTTACGAAAACACCTCTTAATCTGCATATATGGTGCAATATGATCCCAGGTGCGAAGAAATCAACGACCGATGCAAGCGGAATGTTTCAAGCGGAATTTATCAGGTACCAACGGTGGCCAAGATTTCGATCCTGCAATGTTGGATGAAATGTACAATGCTATTAGGTATGTGATGAAAATACTTGAATCAAGTGTTTGAATAGAAAAATGGGTCGGATCTGCTACAAGATATGAAATGTGATTTCATTTTACATTAGTGGGTGATATCCCATGCTGATATATAATGATATCCGATCTTTTCAGAAATGAAGAAATTGTGATGCCTGCTGAGCAAGTTGGAATTGTAAAGGAAAATTATCTGTGGAAGGTAAATTTCTGCATGACAATAAATAAATTTGAATTAAAAGTTTTTACAACTGATACGGTAAATAAAAGGCACTATTATGGGGTGATAAAATGGAAGCGGGATAGTTATTTAAATCACTTATAATGCTTACGGCAGAAGAAAATTAAGTTTGGCGCGTTGGGGTAGTATCGTACTATAGACACTATATTATTAAGGGGTGATGGTAATGATGATGATGGAAAGAAAACAACATTTCGAATTTTTATCTTTCTAAGAATGTTAAACTATCAAGTTTTTTAGGTTTTATTGCGACGTGGTGAGACGAAAGAAGGTGAATTCATCCATGTACCAGCTGGTTGGAATGACCATGATTTGTTTAGTATCATTTGGGGTCCTGCTTCTGCATCGTTATCGTTCGTATTTGACAAAAGTGGAAGAGACACCATTTTACAGGTATTAAAAATTAATGGTACCGTAATCAATGGAATTTTATCATTCTTATCGTTTAGTCGAGAACAGTTAGGTTCGAGGAAGTTATCCAAATCGGTATTTCAGAAAGTGCTGAATGGATATCGCAAGTGTGCATCCATAGCTGCACATTATGGAATGAGCGATGTTTTCGACAATTTAATTATTCATTTGTGCAAATTTTCTACTTTGATGGCTACAAATGAAGGTAAAATAGTTTGTCAAAAATGTCGCTTGGTTTGGAAATTTTGGTTGACGGACTCGATGAGAAAGAAACGAGAGGATTGAGGATGGGAATTTTGGAAGGTTCATTATACAGTAACACGGGTTTGTTTATTATTGTAATTTGTAGATAATCCGGAGCAGAATTTGGATATCCAACAACAAGGGGTTTTGATTGAAAATTCCAATCAGAGTGCGGAACAGATCGCAATTGCCTTTGGTGAAAATGCAAAAGCACAAATGGCTGCAAGAGCCATGTTCCAGTTGGTTCATGCTCATGGTGACATTCTTCGCGAGGTCATGATGGTTTTGAATTTCCCCAAATATTTGCTGTAACATGAATATTTCTTCAATAATTCATCCTTACTAAATTATAGGGCTGGAAAAATGTGTTGGATAGTATTTTGCGGTTATTTTATGCCCGTTTATTGCCTGCTGCAATAACGGAAGTGGAGGACTTTGTAGATAGTAAAGGATGGGTTTCAATACAGCGAGCACCACCACCGTAAGTCCTGTTATATTAATTATAAATATGGTAAAGTGAATTTAATCAATTTTTGATCCGGCAGCTTATCTCTTGTTTTCTTTTGTTTTTTATGAATTTTTACAGAAAGTTATCAGCAAACCGGAACGATTCTAGTTTGCTTAGCTGGCTTGGACTTGGCTCAAACTATGACAGCAGGGAATCTGTGCCAACTGCCGATCAGCAACAGTTTATCAAAGTAAGTATTTTAGTTTTTTTTCTCTTTTTCCTCTTTTCAAATTTCGGACGATTAGCTTCCCACTCCTGAACTATAAAATTAACGGTCAAATTGGGAAATTTTCAAACAGAAAGCTGTGTATTATGCAGATAGCTCAAGAAGTGATCGCTGAATGTCATCCGGAACAGCTCATCGTTGATGGCAAATATCTCACTTCATCCGCGCTTTCTGAACTCATTGGTACAATCATTCAAGCATCTACAAATGTTGCTCACACTGAAATGGATAAAGGTGAACCTGTGGCAAGAAAGTTGAAAGAACAAGTTAGTATTTTGAATGAAGGGTTTTTGGGTTTCTCAACTTTTGTTCCGTATTTCTTAGTTTTAATCACATTTCTGAGAACTTTGTAAGCGGGAGCCGTTATAGTTTGTCCAGTTTATCCCTTCTATCCGAAATATTCTTTTTTACCTACGCATCTTCTATCTTTCAACTTCGTTTCACTACTTTCCTCTATCCAGTTTTGTCTCTGTGCGTGTTACTACCAGAACATTCTTTTAAGGAAGAAGATGCACTTGTACTTTACCTGGAATTGATGGTTAGCATAGCATTGGAAAACAAAGACCGCCTTTCTCTAATATGGACACCAATCAAGCAGCATTTGCAATGGTTTATGAGTGATTTTGGTCGGAATCCATTGATTGTAGAGAGGGCTGTTGTTGGTTTGTTAAGGATTGCGAACAGGAATTTGTATCATCTTAAAGACGATATCGCTGATGAAGTGCTTCAATCTTTAGGAATTCTGTTGGTTTGTCTTTTTGGCTTATTCTGGAAATTACGCAGCTAATCCAAGTTATCAACCTAATGTTGAAAGTCAATTAATAGTAATTTACGTGTTAGTAGTGATTTTTAATTAGTAGTATTTTCTGTTTCAGAAGTTACCACCTCCAGCTATGTTCATGTTTTCTCGACAAATTGCGTATGGCTTACATGAATTGCTGCGCACAAATGCCGCAAATGTACACCGGCGCGAACATTGGGCAATTCTTTTTGGAATAATGGAAGCTGTGGGGGCGGGTGTCTATCCGGAGGATTTCAATACGCAGCTTAATGATGTAAGTTATTAGTCATGCGTTTTTTTTGTCGAGATTTTCAGCTGTTTTATTTACATTAATTTACCGAGGATATGAACTATTACTGATTGATGCGTTTAGAGCATCTTTTCCGTACCGCTGCCATTCGTAATAACGCAAATTGGGACGGGTTTGATGTATCACCTCTCATGTAAATTAGAGTGAAGGACTAATAAATTTTTGTGAATTTCTAAAGTCCTTTAGGAATTCCAGCCTGGTTTATCTCAAAAAAAATCGAAAATCGTGAATCGACAAGTGCATAGTGATACGGAACCAAGTTTAAACCGTTCGCGAGTTGATAACACAAGTGAAACAATCTATGTTGACCGAGGTTACACATCTGATGTTGTTCCAGGTGTAAATCATGCTTTCTTTAGCTTTTGCTTAATATTCACAATTTTGATTTCAATTGTTTATCATTAGTTTTGCTTATGAATTAGAGAGCGGAAATATTTTTGCAAAATATATTGGATGGTGTTTTGCAGGATCAGTGTCATCTATTTCGAGTCTTTCGGAACATATTGATAGTGCAGCTTCTTTATTGAACGAGGCAAGCACTGAATGGATACATGTTGATCACAGAGATGGTTTGTTTTAATTATAAGTTAATATTTGCTTTTTGATTGTATGTTGTCAATACTTTTATGTGCAGTCTCTTTGGAAGAAAAAATATGATGGAGAAAGGAACAAAGAGAATTGTCATTTTCCATCACGATGATTAATATATGAAGCGTGATCTGTTGCTCTTAATTAACCGTTGTTTTATTGCCATGGAAGGAAAATCAGTTAACAGTTTTTATCCATCTTTGCTTCTTTTTCCTTATCTTTGTCCAGAGATCGATACTTCGTTTTATTAGATAATTAAGTATGGATACGTTTTTCGGTTCAGCATGGGTTTGTAGAGATTTCGTAGTTTCAGTAGCACTTGCTGCGCAGCAGCAGCAGTTCCAGCTTAAACCGACTGGAAAGCAGCATCTATATTCGAGTGTTTTCGATCGCGGTACTGTTGTGTTGCGCACTAATCTCATCAGGTTACCTTTCAGAATTTTGCATTATTACAGTAACTTTGCAAAACGAATATTTCAACTGCTAACCTTGCAGTGTTTTGATAAATTTGGTAAATAAATTATTTTATTTCAGACACGATCCTTTAGCGTTCCTAAAAGTGGGAGAAACGCTAACATTTCTGGCACGTGATGCAGCTCATATCACTCCTGAGAACTTTGATTCCTGTATAGAATGCTTGAGATCATGTACTGAAGCTAGTCTGGATGGTGGGAGGTATAGTATGTTTCATTTCTAGTTTTGTCATGTGTAATTTGGTTGGTAAAGTTACGCGGTTTTTTGTTTGATTGAGATCATTTTATAATCGAATGTTTCAAGAAAATTTTCAAATGCTGCAGATATGCTGCTGGTCCGCTCAGTGGTGATGCTCAAAGTCAGTTGCGAAGTGTTTTAAAGGATAGCAAATCAAAGAATAGTGTCAAACAAGGTCATTGGTTTGTTAAATACTGTAGGAACGATTTATATTGTTGCGGACGAATGACTTACTTTGATGGAAATTTAGCAATTCTTCATTTAGCTTATACATGAAAACTTGAAAATTCGAACTTACATTGCAGAAAGAGGCAACCATAGACACATGCTTCTGAAAACGGAAAGTAATCATGAAGAAGAAGGAATGTCATCTCAAGCTGAACCACAGAAACTATCAGCAAGCTACCAGCAGGTTATAATTTTCAATTTTGCTTTAGATAATTTTAAATGCTAATAAAAACTTGATCCACCTAATTTCTCTCATTCTTTCCGTTTTTTTCAACTGCAAAATTCATTCATAAATGATGTGACTTTCCTTTTCAAATATAAAATGAGTATTATAAGTTACTCTTTTTAACCTTTTTATAACATTCAATGGTTGTATTGCATTCTTTTTTGCAGGTTGCCTTCCAGATGCTTGACTTGTGTCATACGTTACATGTCAAAGGTGCTGCAATATATCGCAGTTGGGCTTATGGCGGAGCTGAAGTGAATCATTTTCACCTTTTTTTTTTTTATGTAGTTGATATCAGTTCATTGTTTTTGACTATTAAATATTTTAATTATATGAACTGAACAAAATGTTTAGTTGATACATTTGTATTTTAGATTGATGCGAGTTTACCAGCTCTATGGAACCATTGTTGGCGACCTCTTTTACAGTGTATAGCTCGTCTTTGTTGTGATTGTAGGCGACAAGTACGAACACAAGCGCTTAATTTCCTTGTAGTAAGTTTCTGATATTTTAACGATCTACTAATTTTGAATAAGAATTTGTCTTCAAATTTTTACAGCGTGCCTTCCTCATACCGGAAATGCAAGCGATGGAAGGCAGACAGTGGGAAGAGTGCTTTGGCGAGGTACTTTTCCCTCTGCTACAAAAACTGCTCGAAAATTTATCACCAATGGATCCGATTGGAATGGAGGAGACACGAGTACGAGTTATGCAGCTCATTTCGAAAATTCTACTCAATCATTTAACGTTAGTTCAAATTATTTTATTTCGAGTTCTAAGTAAAATTTGACACACCATTTCGGATTTGAAAACTGTAACGGCAAGGAACGTCCTTGTAAAAGGTCAATCAGAATCTTCTTCAGTAATCTGATTCGAAGTCAAGGTGAAGTTAAAGTTGCAAATTACATAAAATTATTTTAATCTTTTCATCTTTTGAAAATTTGTCAACGCGTAAGTTTTTTCAGTATCTTCAGGTCATTATTATTGTCATGATAAGGCTGTTAAATATTTTTGTTTATTGCCAAACAAACGTTCGAAAGTTTTTTTTAGCCCTTTGAGTTTGTTGGCATCATTCCGATCCCTGTGGTTACGTTTGCTGGATTATATGGATCAGTATCTTCATGCGGATCGCAGTGATCTTTTATCAGAAGCAATTCCAGAATCATTAAAGAATATGATTCTCGTCATGGATAATACTGAAATGTTCTGCACCATACCCGATTTATACGATATGACTGTTACACGCATTGGTGCATTCTTGCCGGAGCTGCTTGCCGAAGTGATGCCTGGTCCGCCAAGAAGGTACTTTTTGTAGTTCAAATTTACATTCAGAAGTTACTTAAATTCTGATCGTGCTTTATAAACTTTTAAATAGTTTTTTTTATCTTTATATTTTGATTTTCAAATTTCTAAAATAATTTCTGAAAAAATAAATTTTTAAATAATTTTAAATAAAATTTTACAAAAGAGTTATTGCACAATTTCTAGACCGCATTTACCTGATGTGAAGTTACAAGAGACGCCAGAGTCACTTCTTCAAGGCGAGAACCCTGAGATTACTAAACCTGGCTCTAGAGAGGCTGTGTCGATACTTCCTCAGCAGTTCAACATTGATAGACAAGTACTAATTGCTCCACCAATCGACTTAACTACGCAGTTACAATCTCCAAACCCTGGTCATTTGCAACCTGAAGATATCGCTTATAACGGCGGGACTTCGAAGTGTGCCGATTTATCAGAAGTTGCAGTGGAGATTCCAATTCCAGAACTGGTAGGAACAATTTACTTTCTTGGTTTACAGCAATATTGCGAAAGTTTAATGTAGCACCTATGCGTTATCTTTGATGTGCTGTTTGATGTGTTGTTTGGGAACCACTGAAATAATAGTTTTATTTTTATTTTCAAATTTCATTTAATTTTTTCTACAGATGCAGACATTTGCATCTTCTGCTAGTCATTGTAGATTACTTACAGGAAGAAGTAATCGTTCATTCTGGCAGTACTTCTCCGCCTTCCCAGTCGTATTTTGTTACGGCTGAAGCAAATGCTCAACCCTCGATACTGTTTTCAAATGGAGAATCTGATGTCTGCGGTCGAGATGGAATAACATGTGATGAGCAACTGTCAAATCAGCAATTTTCATATGCCCAAACTGCACAAATATATAATACCGATTATTCTTGCGATGCTGAGAGATTGAAGGACGTGAATGATGAAACGCAGTTTGCTACTGCATCAGTGGAAGGATTTCGGGTCTGTTTTGCTCTTATGAGATATGCTTTCAGTGCAAACTGTGTTATTACAATTAGGAAAAATTACTTGAGATGCTAAAGGATTGAGACTTGAACTTGAAATAACACTTGAATTTATTCTAAAATTTTTGTGTAAACCCTGCTTTTTTCGTCCATGTTTATTTTCACTGCTAAAATATGCCGTCCATTCAGATAGTACCACCTCGTTTATTGTATGCTCAACAGCAGTTAGAACAGCTCCCATTTATTGGCTCACAATCGTCACAAATCTCGTGGCAGGCTCCTTCGGTCTCGACACCAATGATGATTGTTGATGGACCTTTGGTTCCATCACCAAATAGTGCATTTTCACCTCCAGTGTCTTCATCTTTGCGATCTGTCGTTGAAGCATCTTCACGATTTTCAGAGGTATAAAAGCTGTCACGTTACTCGTACTTTTTATGGCAGTCGTTTGGTGTGTGTGTGTGTGTGTGTGTTGTATGTGTGTGTGTGTGTGTGTGTGTGTGTGTGTGTGTGTGTGTCTGTGATAGAAGAGAGGAACGAAGGCGCTAGTTTGGCTATTNTGCGACACATCT